CCCCCCCAAAAAAAACGCTATGGAGCAGTTTTACTCTGTAACACATGGGGTCGCCATGAGTTGTAATCAACTCGATGGCAACTAATAACAACACAATAACAACAGCTTCCTAGTTTTCTGTGATTCACCAAAATTACCAAATCCCTAATTCTTAGAATTTCTGTAATTTCCTTTTATGGTGTTTTATTTAGTGACATGAATAAATGCTATATGGTACAATAGAGTTCTTGTATTACCTGTTTAAGATTCAGTAGGATTCTTTTCTTACCTCTGTGAAAAAGATCTAACCAAGTTCATGACTTTTTTTTTTTTTCTTAAACAGCCCAAAGCCTTGAAACTTCTAGGAATGGAGGTAAGTGTTTGCTCGATTTATTAGTGTCAATTATTTATACTCTTCATTATACATTTGAAAAAACATATTTAAGTTCATTTCAGTGTTAGGGCTTAATACATGATTCTAAAATAAGGAAATAAAATTTTTCCACGTACCAATGGGGCAGGTCACAATAGCTATGAAAATTCCACCATGAGGTTATGTTAGCATTGCAAACAGGAAATAGATCCTATTTGAAATACTAACTTGAAAATTAAGGAAGCGTGTAAATTCCAGTAAGTGTTCTGTTCATGGGTGTTTGCAAATAGCAACAGATCCAAATACCGGAAGTACTTCACAAATGCATTCTAATAAGTATGTAGAAATTCGAGATAGGTTATCTGCTTCCTGTCTTTTGTTCATGTGATTATTGTCATATATGCAAATGCAAGTATATAATGTCCTTGCCCTTTCGATGAAAAGAATAGAGTTGTCCATCTGAGGTACAAATAACCCTACCTGTGGAGAACAATGACAATTATTTCCATAGGGAAATAATTTTTAAAATTAAAGTATAACAGAGACATGTCCCCATAGGACTGTGCTTATGCATTTATTATAACTTGTTTTAAAGTGAGGCATGTCTGTGCCCGTGAGTTCTTTGAGGATAGGAGCTGCCCTACTTCATTTCTGTATCTGTCCCAAAGCTGGGTCAGTAGTAGATGTATGATAACTACTTGCTGAATTGAGTTGATTTGTTTCTAACTCAGTCTCTATGTTGTGTCCCTAAAATTACAGGACGACGTTCCCTTGAGGCGAGGAAGAAAGACAACCAAGAAGCGTGAAGAAGAGGTGGACATTGATTTAGATGACCCTGAGATCAACCACTTCCCTTTCCCCTTCCATGAGCTGATGGTGTGGGCTGTCCTGATGAAGCGGCAGAAGATGGCCTTGTTCTTCTGGCAGCACGGTGAGGAGGCCATGGCCAAGGCTCTGGTGGCCTGTAAGCTCTGCAAAGCCATGGCTCATGAGGCCTCCGAGAATGACATGGTCGACGACATCTCCCAAGAGCTGAACCACAACTCCAGGTTGGCCACTCCAGCAAATGGAATGGGTGGTCAGGGAAAGAGAAAAGATGGGCCCCAAATACTGGAGGATCTGAGCTACCCAAAGCTTTAAGGGGAGGCAGTATTACCCCCATAGTACACACAGAGGGTTCCAGTTTCCAGTTGCCATCAAGTCGATTCTGATGCATGGCAACCCCATATGTTTCAGAGTAGAACTGTACTCTGTGGGTTTTCTTGGCTGAGAACTTGCAGAATCAGATCTCAAGGCCTTTCTTCCAAAGCACCTCTGGGTGGGTTTGAACCGCCAACCTTACAGTTAGTAGCCAAGTACTTGACAGTTTTCACCACCCAGCAACTCCGCACAGAGGGTGGACATGAATAAATGTATACTGGGCACAAGTTACACAAGAAGGTACATACAGATACATATATGATCTCATTTCATCCTCTCAACTACCCCCAAGATGTA